CGACGTCGTCATCATTATTTTCAACGCAGCTCCAAAGTTTTATGTTGTCCGCACTTGTTGATGTTTTATTCGGTCCCACAAATTCAGCAGATTTTTGAACGTCATACCTGCCGTTACGCTTTACTTTGATTATTTCGTACGGACCAATATACTTTCTACCCAGCTTTTGTCCTGTCGTAAATTGAGTGACTTTTATGGCTACTAAGTCATGCAGTTGATACCCGTCATGGCCTTTTCGTTTCTTGTCAAATTGCTGTTTATATTTTTCCTGCGCCTTCTGGATCTGACCCCTTGCTTCTTGCCTTATTTTGTTACGCTCTTCTTGAAAACCTGATACCAGCTCATCTTTAAAAATTTGAACCAGCTCTATATCACCCTCGTTACGCATTTTTATACCAAACATTACCTCGAAAGGACTGAATTTCGTAGAAGAATAAACGTAGGAATTTATCGCCTTCTGCACTTGAGGTGTATGCTTATACCATTTCGAAGGTTCTGCTGCCGACAATTTTGACAAAACCGATAGGATAACCCTATTCGTCCTTTCGATTTGCCCGTTTCGCCTTGGGACTCCTGCTGTTGATTCGATGTGCTCGATCTTGTGTTTTGCACAAAACTCCTTAAATAACTTGGAAGTGAACGCCGCGCCTTTGTCACTTATAATGCGTATTGGATTCCCAAATAACGAGACCCAATTCTCCATGTGTTTCACAACCTCCTGCGCATCTGTTGACTTAGTTGGGTATATCCATGTGTACTTGGAAAACGCGTCTACTATAGCTAGCAAATATTTGTAGTTCTTCGTTGTTGGATCAAGCGTGCCTAAATGATCGATGTGAAGCGTAGAAAGTGGGGTGTCGCCTTTGTCGATGCAATGTAAAAAATCTTCGTTCTTGCCCAACTTTCTGTTTCGTGTAATGCATTCAACGCAATTCGCTATATACTGAGTTACCTTTTTTTCCAAATGCGGCATGTAGTAATCTTGCTTTATAATGTGTATAGTTTTTTGCGCACCCATATGCCCGAAGTTATGTGCTTTCGAAATTATTTCTTTTTCCATTACCTTTGGTACCGCCAACAAATCTTGACCCTGCACCTGCTTATATATCAACTCGTTCTTCATTTTATAGTCTTTATATTGATGTTGTTTTAGAATTTCTGCGATCGCATTTAAATGCTCGTCTTTTTGTTGTGCTCGGCGGATTTGTGCGTGAACCTCTAGCGTAATTGTCATGACAGGGAAACGACTCAGACTATCAACGTGCTTCATCCTGCTTCCCGCCCGATGTTCTATTTTATAGCTAAAATCTTGAAGATACATTAGCCATTGTACGACCTCTCGTGGAACATCTTTCTTTTTCGTTGTATGCTTAAAAGCCGCGCAGTCAGTTATGAGATCAAACTCTATACCCATTAAGTAATGCCGGAGCTTTTTTGTAGCTAAATATGCTGCTTTTACTTCCAAAAAGTAACTGTGTAATCTTTCTTCCTGAGGCGTGGTCTTTTTGCTCCAATAGAATACTGGATGCCACCTATTATCGTGTTGCTGCAGCAATGTTGCCCCAAATCCATATTTTGATGCATCCACATGCAGTTGTGTTTTAGCGTTTTGTCGAAAAATTTTCAGCACCGGATCTTCGCAAAGTGCCAACTTCAATGCTTCAAAAGCTTCTATTTGTTCGTGCTCAATTTTAAACTCCGCATCTTTTCTCAACAACGATGTCAATGGTCTGGCGATCACAGCATAGTTATGCACAAATTTGCGGAAGTAACCCGTCAACCCAAGAAATGCCTGAACACCCCTAATGTTCTTTGGTAAGGGAAATTTCTTAACAGCTTTTATTTTTTCTTGGCTTGGCCAGACACGCCCGTTTTCTACTTCATGCCCCAAAAAAGTAATTTTTTTCTTCAAAAATTGGCATTTTGCCCAGTTTATTTCCAATCCGAATTGCTCTGCTTGTCTTAGCACCCTTTGCATATTTTGCAAACACTTATCAGCTGTGTCCCCAAATACAACAATGTCATCAACGTAGATCTCCATTATGCCCTCATTTATCAGTTGTTGGAAAATATGGTTTACATAGCGTACAAATACTGCGGGCGAATTGCAAAAGCCAAACGGTGCTTTATTGAATTCGAAAAGACCTTCTTTTGTCGTAAATGCTGTGTACTTTTTGCTGTGTTCTTCGACCTCCACATGAAAAAAACCATTCTTGAGGTCCATCACCGAAAAAAATTTAGCATTCTGCATCTTCTCAAGCACCTCATCAACTATTGGGACTGGGAATCGATCTTTCAGTACAAGGGAATTTAGTTTACGGAAATCTACACATTTCTTTTTGGCTAGTACAACTTTACTCGCGACATCAGAGCATAATTTTCTGATTACACCCTGGCGGAGCCATTCATCTACCTGATTTCGTATAAATTCTCTTTCAGTTGCCGATAATCTACTGGGGCTTTCACGAAAATCGGTTGTATTACCATTGGGTGCAATAGACAGCTTAATAGGGGAATCTTTTGGACTACTCACCGGCTTATAATTGTTCAATAAATTCATAACAGCTGCTTTATATTTCGGTTCAACATCTATTTCTAACTGGTCACACGCTACGTTTAAAATATTATGATCAGTTTCACATTCGTCCGCTTTTCCGTCTGCTTTAGAAAACTTGTAGGTGCCAGCATCCAAAGTGACTCTAAACTTTTGCAAAAAATCATAGCCAATAATTACGTCTACGTTCAATTTAGCATCTTCAACAACCAAAAATGTATGTGTGGTGTTCAATCCATCGACTTCAACGTGTGCCACAATTTCACCCAGTACCGAAGTAGCCACGTTACCCAAACCAAAAAGTTTTACCACACACGTTCGCAACTGCTGATTATAAAAACTAGATTCATATTTCTTCCTGCGCATAAGTGAAACGTCCGCGCCAGTATCGATCAAACAAGGCGTAGAGACACCATTTATTTTAATATTTTCGCTACGAGTTTGATTTAACACCATATTGACAGTCTGTTTCGAATTGCACTGCTTTGCCATATGCCCTACCCCATTGCATGTAAAGCATTTTGTTTCTTCCTTACAATCTGCTCTTTTATGCTGAGTAGAACCACAATTATAGCAATGCTGTTGTTTACGATCCGGCCTAATGTCTTTTTCTATTGGTTCGCGCATATGTGTTTGCATATTTTGCCTGCGTTTGTGTGATGGGCCATCTTTTAACATTGTTTCAATCAATTCGTATTTTTTCCTTAACTCCCTGAATGTTATTGCGCTATATAAAGGAAACTTTAAATCATCTCGTACATCTATGCCATCCACTATGTTCCTAATGACAGATTCTTCTTCAATATCACCAAGCGCCGCAATTTTTCGCATTTCCAGCACATAATCATGAAAAATCTCAGACGTTCGTTTTTTTCTACAGCGCAACTGCTTGTGTACTTCAGCACTACTCAACTTCTGCTCGAATTCTTCTCGTAATACTGCGCACAACGATGCGTAGTCATAAACAGTGATAGTATCCAAAAACAATTTAGCTGTCCCTACCATTTTATTACGAGCATTGACATATTTTTGTTTTTCATTTAAGTCATATGCGTCTGCATTTTGATCAAAATTGCGTAGCCATTGATTTACAGGAATCGACTTACCATCAAAATCTGGTATTACCTTAGAAAAACTTTCAATAGTAACTTTGTTTTTATTATAATCTTTATCATCTTTTCCCATTTTCTCAGCGAATATTTTGATTAATTGTGACAGCTCACTCGAGCGCACGTACTCGTTGCCTTCATCCGATTCGAAGCTAGCGTTTAATTCTTGTTGGCTGCCCATCGTTCCTCTGCCTGCGCCGTTCATCGCGTTGTGTGCTGCAAACATCGCCGCTTTCTTGATACTGCTTTTCTTTGTTTGTTCGTTGTCAATCATTTCTCTGCCTTCGACGCTGCTTGCTCTGTTCGCGAGAAAAGGAGTTGACTCAACTATACTGCTGTTGTTCCCTTCTTCGTATTTCTGCTTTGCTGGACGTCGTTGAATTTCAAATGTGCCGTTTGCCTCGTCATCGCTATGCACTTCTTGTTTCTTTTTCGCCTTTGACTTTGCGCTCTGTCGGCGTTGCTTTTTCTTTTGCGTGCGCAGCATGGTGTCTCAAAATTATTTTGCCTACTTACATATGTAGATACGTTGATTTGCGCAATGGTTGAACCCCCATGTAAATCAAAGAGTTTGATTTGTAGTTGATAATTTAATGATGAGAATTCAAATGTAGTATAAAGTAAATAAAAGCGATAATATAAGTTTAATATTTTGGACTATTTAGTTAAATAATTAATAAACGAAAGTTTTGTTAAGACGGCTGCTACTGCTGGTACTCGGCTGACGATTACTACTGACTCGTTGATCTTCTTCGTTTAGCTGAAATTAGTCAAGAACGTAAACCTACCGGTACGTAAACCCGAGTCAGCTGACACGATCTGTCTTACCAAA